GCAGAGAAAATTAAGAAAATTGTACATCAGAAAATGCGCCTTGAGGCATGGAACATATGTACCAAATATGCCAAAGATGTCTACAAAATTATCTCAGTTATTATTAAAAAACTGATTATTTTTGAAAACTTTGCCACCCTGTATCTCAAAAGTTAACGCGTTTAGGACATACGTCCATAGGACGTTTTTTCCTTAAAATGGGTCTAAGAATTACCTCCTTAAATATTAGCATGTATTTAAAGAATACCCTGTATAATTGACACAATAATATATTAGACATAATTATAAAACGTTAGAAAAAAGAAGGTAGTAATGTTACGAACCACCATTCTTATTGACAATGGGTGTACGTTAGATTTCATTTAAATATTTTCATTTCGATGTTCTTTTGAATTTTTTCAAAGACATCAGTTTAAATCCATCAGAGATTGAGTTGTACACTCGTGAGATCTGGTATGAAAAAGATTTTTTCTATAATTCTGTACGGTGTATAGGGAGTGTTTGTCTTCCCCTGTAACGAATGTTGATACTGTGAACATGTGAACGGTATGACAATTTCTTATATAAATATTTGGGAGCTTTTTCAGTGATAATTTTATGATATAGACAAGCAGCATGTAATGATTGCTGTTTTGCCTTATTGAGCCAGTTGGTATCTTTGAGTTTATGTGATATATGTTGGCCACGTTTGATGCCGTATATTACACGTAGACAATTGTTTTGAACAACTTGAATTCTTCGTTTATCTTCATAATCAATGCATGGCCCATAGACTGTGCTTCCAAATTTATATCTGGATAATACAAGAGATTCACAGAGTATGGTTTTTACTTTTTTGTTGAGACATTGTCTGTTGGTATAAATTTGTTTGATGTTCATATAGGCAATACTGATGCATTCATTGATGTGATGTTTTAATTTCAATTTAGAATCAAGAATGATACCTACATCTTTTGCATGTTCAGTCGGTGCAACCACATCCTTGTCTACAGTTAATTGAAAGCCATTCAATTCTCTCTTAGCCCCAAAGATCAAAACTGAACTTTCACTAGCATTGATTTGAAGGCAATGCTGCGCAGAGGTAGAAATCAATGAGGCTATGTCTTCATTTAGTATCAGCATTGCAGTATTCATGTCCGATGGGTGGAATGAAATATGTAATTGTGTATCATCAGCGTATAGGTTTATTTTGGAGTATTTAACTACGTTCACAAAGTTTGAGGTGTATAATATAAATAGAAGAGGACCTAAAATCGAGCCTTGGGGAACACCGTGATTTATCTTCAATGGACTGGATACTATATCATCTAGTTTGATTCTTTGCACTCGTTCGCTCAAATAGTTTTCAAAAAGTTGAACCGCGATATTTGACAAACCAATGGGTTCGAGGATAGTGAGGAGAATAACATGATTTATCGTATCGATAGCTTTAAAAAATCAAGCATAACAAGTGCTGTTGATTTCTTATGGTCAAGTACGCTGAAAACATCATCTGTAATGTTTGAAATTGTCGTTCCACAACTATGAGATGGGCGGAAGCCCGATTGTGTTTCTGGTAAAAGGTTTTCATATAGTTGGTTGTAAGTCACTCTTTCAAATAACTTAGAAACAGCTGGCAGAATCCTAATTGGACGCAAATCTTTGAAGCTTTCTTTGAAAGAGATATGACCAGGGCTTCCTTCCAACATTTTGGATAATCACCTATATGTGTTAACACTGGTCTACAGTGGTTTTATTGCACTAGATATAAGATTGATTTTGGGTGTATTTATACTCACAATTCATGAAATTATCAATGGTTTTGTAAGATTTGCTCTCGTTTTCTTTTAAATATTCATTTTCATTTTTCATTACTTTGAAGTAAATAGAGAGGGAAATTTCGAAAACATGTTATATTTCCATGAAACGCCTTTTAAGAGCTTTTCTTTTATAATTTTTCAGAGGACAATCTCTTTTTAAAGACCAGCAGTAATCGGCCATCATGTGACGATCCCATCGACCCTGATATCTTTCTTCCACTACTTTTAGATCCTGGTGGAACCGCTCTCCCTGCTCCTCACTATAATTTCCTAAATTATCTGGAAATTTATCCAAATGGTTGCGAAGATAGTGTAACTTAATACTCATATTTGCTCCTAGAATCTGAAAGTTTGTCAGCATATTTTGTACAATTTCTTCATAATTTTGTGCTTTATGGTTACCTACGAAATTTTCGACTACCAACACAAAACTTTCCCAAGCTTTATTTTCCGGAACAGTCATAACTTTAATAAAATCAGTGTCTTTCATCAATTGCCGTATTTGAGGACCATCAAATATTCCACCATTCAACTTTTCCATACTAAGTTTTGGAAATTTTCCACAAATATATTTTTTAAAAAATCTCCTTCCTTGTCCAAAGCTTTTACGAATTGCTTTATCATTCCTAACTTAATATACAATGGTGGAAGTATAATTTTGTCTCTGCTCACCAACGGCTCTCTTATTACATTAGCTTTACCGACAGTTAAAGAATTTCTTTCAGGCCAAACATCTTGTTCCCAATGACGTTGCTTTGCTCTACTGTCCCACATACAAATGAAGCAAGGTACTTACAAACTTTATTAGGAACCCATGATTTATCTAATTTGTCCATTTTTAAACCGAAATATTCAGCATAAGTTTCCTTAACAAAGTCTGTGATATTTTTTTTTTGTTTTTTTGATATATAAATACCACAAATATAACAGAATAAATCACTACTATATTCGCACTTCCTTCGTGACAAACTCATGTTTAACAAGACTAGATAAATATATTAGAACGGACACTCAACAATTGAAATAAAATATTAATATATAACAACTTATCCAGATTTCCGTGTTAGTACTTCAATATTATCAAATAACTGAGTTCTCAGCTGTTTTGCAGAACAAGGAGCCCAAGAAGTGGGGATCACGTGATGTTTGTACGCGCAAAAAAGTTGCGCAGAAGCTTAATCATGACTGAGAAAATAATTTTTTTTACTAACAAGCCGATTATTATCAAAAATACAAGATACGTAAAAATAAAAAAAAAATAGAGCACATTCAGTACTTTCATAAATATACTCGTGATTTAGGCACTCGAAAACATAAAAATTTGCAAAAATATTCAGGGCAACACAATTTGTAGAGCTGTGTAATCTGATATTTATGCCATCGGAGCCTTGAGCATTGCTTTTTATGGTGTATATGATTTTTTGTATATCAATTTCGCTTATTTGTTGGAAGGAAAACTCAAGACTATTCTGCCTTTTTTATATTTTTGTCAAATTCCAGAATTTCAGAATTCATTACCAAGTTGGGATTTGAATTCACGTAAAAGTTATTGAGTTCGTCAGGCTTTTTAAGTTCCTCTGGAATATCAGTAGGTTTTTTTATTTATGTTAAGTAAACCTAGTTCTTTCCAGACTTTGTTTACACCATTTGTTCGCATCGTATGTTGAAAGTAAGCTATTTTTTCATTTTCACACGCTAGAGTGGTATAATTTCTCAAAGATTTATAATACTTATAATGACCTACATTTTTCGATCGTTTTCACCTAGCGCAAGCCTCATCTTTTAGTTTCATTAATAGTCGTATGATATCAGTAATCCAAGGGAAATAAGGTTTTGTTATGCTGATAGTTCTCAGTGGAGCATGATGGTTGAAGACCTAAAGAATGGAGTCGTTTAGAAGTTGCACTTTCTCGTTCATACCATTCAGATCGTAAATCGAAGGGAACGGAGCATGTTGGATATCTGAATAGAAATCGTCTATAGAAAAATTCCTGAAGTCCCTGGTAACTTTAAATGTTTCCAGTTTTTTCGGTGTCGAAGTAACTAACTCAGCGTATATGAGTTCATGATCCGACATATCATCTACTGGTACAACATCAGCGCATTTCACGAAGTTTTCAACGTTGCTTGTGATGATTAAATCGAAAATTTTTTGCCAAAAAAATTATCCTATCAAATTTGTCTATTTCTAGTCATGTGTGTCGAAGTAACCAATGAAACCATCATTACACTGATAACTACCCATGGATAGTTTTCACGGGTAGTTATCACTTATGTCATGACATTGCTAAGCAACCAACACAATAAAGTTGTTTGACATTTCAGTAATTCAATTTATTTCGAAAATGTCACTTCCTCGCTTTGGTGTTCAAAATGATGCGGCAATTGACAAAATCATTGAAGAAAATACACCAAAAAATACTGTCAATAGTAAAAAATACACTTGG